ATGCGATATTGAATGATGGCGACAGTGTGCCGTGTTGTGTGTGCGTTGGCCGCTGCTCTGTGCTGCACGGCCTTGTGCGTGGCTGCTGATATGTTGCAGACGCATACTGATGGTGTAAGTGTACAGCGGCAAGCATTGTCTGAACTCCACTCCAGCTCTCACCGAGAGCGGAGCAGTCAAGATTTGCTGCGTGGGGGGAAAGTAGGTTTCTCCGTAATGACAGCGCAAGTTTCTGTTACGATCCCTAAAGTTAAAGTGTGGAGTTCACGGTGTACTGACGATAAATGCAAGGCCGCTGCACAGGGGGCAGCAGAAAAGGCATACGAGGCAGCAGGGAATGCCGCAGCTGCAGCGTATTATGCGAAGAATGCCTTCAGAGCGGCTATGAATGCAATACGGATATTTCGCGCGTTCGATGGTGATCGTGGCAATGCTGAGATCGTGACGAAGGCGACGGAGAAAGCGAAGAAAGCAGTGCATCTTGCCAAACGTGCGGGGGACACTGCAACACTTTCGCAGAATCTGTCGGAGGAAGCAAAAAAGCTACTGGTACCCTTTAAGCCGCCAGCAACGAAGGATCCTCTTAAGAAGCCAGAAGGCAACGATGCAAATCTAAGAAAGGCATACGACAGNATCAAGGAGGCAATTAAGACGGCACGCTCAGCAGCAAGGAGCGCTACGAATGCAACAGCTTCGGCTACCATGGCCGAGGGAAACTTTACGAACCGCGATGAATGGGGATTGTTTTTCGCTGCCTCAGCAGCGGACCTCGCTGACTGGGTGGCGACGCAGGCTGGGAAGGCTGCAAAGAGCGCCGAGGGCGCAGCAACCGCCGCCGAGTTGGTGGTTTCCGCTCTGGGCGGCAAACCAAAAGAGCGGGATCCTGCAACGGTGTTTGCTGCGCCCGAAAATGATCCTGACGCGGAGGAAGAAGTTACTCCGGTGCCAGAACAGCAGCCGAAGCCCAAGGATGTGACCCCTTCTCCCCCACAAATTGCACCCATCATTAACTCCGCAGGCAAGGCGCCGGAAGAAAAAAGTGAACCTAAGAGCGAGACGGTGACCGCCGCCTCAACGCCTCCACCCCCCGTTGAAAAGCCAAGCGAAACTCCCCCGCGTGAAGATCCCTCCAAAGAGATAAGCGGGGGCAGCCGAAACATTGCAACGCGGGACGGCAGTGTCAACCCTGCGTGGGTATGTGCGCCAATGATGTTACTGGTTATTATGGTGCCAGCCTTCATTGGAGCGTTCTAAGAGGAGCTGGCACAGCTCCACCGCGGTGAGACTTCAACCATAAATAGAAAACAAAAATCACTTTCTTTTATTGCTTGCCCTTTCGTGGCTCCGCTCATTGCGAGTGTGCATGGGTACGCGCCCTGGCTCTCGGAGGAATGCGTGGCTGCTGTCCGTTGTTGGGCGTACATCATCCCCCTCCTTGTTTCTGGGCTTCATTTCCTTTTTTCTACGGGGTTGTGTGCCACCCGTTGCTTAAACGTTGTTTTTTTCTTTAATTATTGCGGTGCTCTGTGTAGCACGGCGGTGGAGTGGTGCTGTGGCGGAGTGTGCAGTGCGGCGCCATTGGGCTGGCGGACGCGTGCGGCTCCACAGCAAGTGCACGACCCCGCACCACCGCATGTTCCGTGTCCTCAAGTATCCGTGCTTGTGTGTGTGTATGTGGGAGGGGGGGGGATGCATTTGCTCCCGCAGCAGAATTAAGGATAAGTCTGTGAAGAAGTTTCCGCTGCTGCGGGGACGGCTCGTTGTTTTTTTTTTTCGTTTGTTTCTTTTTGTCTTTCCGCTGCGCCATCGCAGTGACGGGGGAACATTGACGTCACTTAGGCTTTGTGGTGAGGGGCTTTCCAGACGTGAGAATTGTTTTTATTCTTGTTTATTTGGGAGGTGTTGGGGGTTTGTTGTGCGCCGCCCACTAACTGTTTCTCCTGCTGGGGGATTCTCTTTTCATCTTTTTGTGTGTGGAGCGCTGCATCCTTCGCTCCGTCCCTCCCGCCGTGTCTGCGCCACTCACACCGGGACACACATAAAGGGGCGTGAGCGCCAGCAGTACAACTGCGTCCACGTGCGCTGCTGCTGCCTCGTTGTTCCCTCTTTGTTTGGGGCCTTGTGGGTGTGGACTCCAGCGGAGTGTGTGCGCCTCTTCCGCCATCCAGTTCTCTTTTCTCTAATGGGTTTCTTTTTATCATGGTTGATGCCGCCTGTGTTGTGCCTGCTGCTCCGTTCTTCGTGTTTATTTGTGTGTGTGTGTGTGTGTGTGTGTGCTACTTGCTTTGTGTGCCCCTATTCTCAGACGCTAGCTACTCAAGCTATACTGAGGAAGATGAAGATGGTACGCCACGTGGTGTGCCTGCTGGTCCTCGCATGGTGTTGCTGCACAGCCCTGTGCGTGAGTGCTGCTGTGCCTGACTCAGCGGCAGATCCAGTTCTGAAGGATACGGCAGCACAGATTGCGGCGAAGGAGGCCGAAATCGCAGCCCTCACAAAAGATCTCGACGCAGCGACGAAGGATGAGGGTGCCGTTGCTGCTGTGAGTGAGGCAGTGAAGGAGGCGAAGACGGCAGCTGAGGCTGTCAAGCAGATCGTGACGGATGTGAAGGTGCTTCTGGACGTGGACGTCAGATATGCCGTGAAGCTTGCTTCTGTCGCTCTGGCAGATACATATGACGCGGCGTTGGCTCTAGCCGTTCTTGCGTTTCCCATGGATCATGATGATGTGCCCTCAAAGTTTCTGTATCCGAAGGAACTTACGACAGAGAAGACAACGCAATTGGCGGAAGCTGCAGTTGCAAACGCCACGGAGGCAAAAGCCGAGGCAACGAAGGTGCTGTTGAATGTCACTGAGACAGAGGAGAAAATAAAGGCCATAGTTCAGAAAGGAACTTCAGCACTGCAGCGCGTTACGGATGTGGCGGGTAAATATGAAAAGGGGACGGAGGCCTTTAGGAGCGCAGTGAAGGCAGCGGAGGAGGCAGCGACAGCATCCCTTTCCGCAGCGGAGCAGTATCTGAAGGAGATGAAAAACGTTACGGAACCAGCAACAATTATTTCTGAAACAGCAAACGTATTGTTAACTTTTGGAAAAAGGGTGTTGGAAATAACAAAGCAAACTGATACTCGGCGGAAACCCGATAACCGTGAGGAGTTCCAAATAATAATGGGGGAGACGTATGAGGGTGGGGACGCCATCGCGAGGGCACTGGGAACGACTCTATACGCAAGGGATGCCGCACACAGTGTGTCGAAGGCTGTTGATGCTGTGATCACCTCCGCCACTGGTGCGGCACAGACGGTTCAGAGTGAACTGGACAAAGCCCAGATGGACAAAACAAAAGCCGGGGAAAAGTTGACGAAGTTAAGGGCTGAATTGGAACAATTGACTCTTACAACCACTGCCGCTGTAGGTGGAGGCACTGCCACTCATCCATCGTCAACGGGACCCACAACTAACCCTGCGCTTGTGCCTGACGCTGCCCCTGTGAGCAACGGCAACATTGCGGAAAGCTGGACACTTCTTGCTCAGCACACAGATGGCAGTGATGTCCACGCGTGGGTGAGTACACCGCTGATGCTGCTGCTGATGGCCTGTGTGGCTGTGTTGTAAGACTTCTGTGTGTGTGTGTCCATGGGACGATGATGCTCCCATCGTAATTGTGTTGAGTGCTGAGAACTGCACTTCTAATTGTTAAGATTCTTTTGTTTGCTTTTCATTGCTCCCTCGTTATGAGCGTAACGCCGACCCACTTGCCCTCGACTACACGTATTGTGGGCTGTGTTGTCTTTTGAGGGCGTGGTATTTTCATTCGTTTCTTTTCTTTGTTTTTCTTTGAGTGCTGCTGAGCGCCGTCCATTAACTCTTTCTTCTGCGTGGGAATTCTCTTTTCATCTTTTTGTGTGTGTGTGTGTTTGTGTGTGTGTGTGTTGCTCTCTCCCCGCTGTTTGTTTGTGTATAGCTCCCAGGCTCTGGGAGGAATGCGTGGCTGCTGTCCGTTGTTGGGCGTACATCATCCCCCTCTTTGTTCTGAACTTCGGCTTCTTTTTTCTACGGGTTTGTGTGCCACTCGTTGCTTAAACGTTGTTTTTTTCTTTAATTATTGCGGTGCTCTGTGTAGCACAGCGGTGGAGTGGTGCTGTGGCGGAGTGTGC